GTAAATAGTGTACATAATACCTCATGTCAGAAATATAGACAGATACTGAAAGGCCGAAACTTTGTAATAAATATGGCGACAAAGATGAGGACAATAGTCCGTATAATGTAAATAGTGTACATAATACCTTATCTCAGAAATATAGACAGATACTGAAAGGCCGAAACTTTGTAATAAATATGGCGACAAAGATGAGGACAATAGTCCGTATAATGTAAATAATGTACATAATACCTCATGTCAGAAATATAGACAGATACTGAAAGGCCGAAACTTTGTAATAAATATGGCGACAAAGATGAGGACAATAGTCCGTATAATGTAAATAGTGTACATAATACCTTATCTCAGAAATATAGACAGATACTGAAAGGCCGAAACTTTGTAATAAATATGGCGACAAAGATGAGGACAATAGTCCGTATAATGTAAATAATGTACATAATACCTCATGTCAGAAATATAGACAGATACTGAAAGGCCGAAACTTTGTAATAAATATGGCGACAAAGATGAGGACAATAGTCCGTATAATGTAAATAGTGTACATAATACCTTATCTCAGAAATATAGACAGATACTGAAAGGCCGAAACTTTGTAATAAATATGGCGACAAAGATGAGGACAATAGTCCGTATAATGTAAATAATGTACATAATACCTCATGTCAGAAATATAGACAGATACTGAAAGGCCGAAACTTTGTAATAAATATGGCGACAAAGATGAGGACAATAGTCCGTATAATGTAAATAGTGTACATAATACCTTATCTCAGAAATATAGACAGATACTGAAAGGCCGAAACTTTGTAATAAATATGGCGACAAAGATGAGGACAATAGTCCGTATAATGTAAATAATGTACATAATACCTCATGTCAGAAATATAGACAGATACTGAAAGGCCGAAACTTTGTAATAAATATGGCGACAAAGATGAGGACAATAGTCCGTATAATGTAAATAGTGTACATAATACCTTATCTCAGAAATATAGACAGATACTGAAAGGCCGAAACTTTGTAATAAATATGGCGACAAAGATGAGGACAATAGTCCGTATAATGTAAATAATGTACATAATACCTTATCTCAGAAATATAGACAGATACTGAAAGGCCGAAACTTTGTAATAAATATGGCGACAAAGATGAGGACAATAGTCCGTATAATGTAAATAGTGTACATAATACCTTATCTCAGAAATATAGACAGATACTGAAAGGCCGAAACTTTGTAATAAATATGGCGACAAAGATGAGGACAATAGTCCGTATAATGTAAATAATGTACATAATACCTCATGTCAGAAATATAGACAGATACTGAAAGGCCGAAACTTTGTAATAAATATGGCGACAAAGATGAGGACAATAGTCCGTATAATGTAAATAGTGTACATAATACCTAATCTCAGAAATATAGACAGATACTGAAAGGCCGAAACTTTGTAATAAATATGGCGACAAAAATATAGATGAGGACAATAGTCCGTATAATGTAAATAATGTACATAATACCTCATGTCAGAAATATAGACAGATACTGAAAGGCCGAAACTTTGTAATAAATATGGCGACAAAGATGAGGACAATAGTCCGTATAATGTAAATAATGTACATAATACCTCATGTCAGAAATATAGACAGATACTGAAAGGCCGAAACTTTGTAATAAATATGGCGACAAAGATGAGGACAATAGTCCGTATAATGTAAATAATGTACATAATACCTCATGTCAGAAATATTGTTCATTTATTTATTTATTTAATGAGAGTGTTCTTTTCTTTAATTTTGTCTGTCTTTCAAATGTTCTTTTTTCCATAATTCTGATTTTCCTGTCTTTCATTTCTTTCTCAATTATTCAATCTGATTTTCCTGTTTTCTTTCTTTTTTATTCCTTTTCATTTTACTATTATTTTATAATTTCCTTTTTATCATTTCTTTGAAAAATCTCCTTACACTTCTTTTCAATATCATTTCATTCACTTCGCAACTCTCTCTCTCTCTCTTTCTCTCTCTCTCTTTCTCTCACTCTCTCTCTCTCTCTCTCTCTCTCTCTCTCTCTCTCTCTCTCAAACTTCATCTCTTCGTTATTCCAATTCTCTTCGTTGTTTTTCTTCTTTCCTTTGCTTTTTTCTTTTTTTCTTCTCTTTTCTTTCACTACTTTACTTGTCCATCTTCATCCAAGCTCCTCTTGATATGCTGATAGATAACTGAATGCCTTGATAACTCCTGATAGCATTTCGACTTCATGTCTGCCAAAATATCTGACCAACCCTAAGGTCGGTCGACATCAAAGACCGATTCACATCACTTTGTACCCGGAGCGTGGTGACGAGCTGGTTACTGCACGAGAGAAGTGCTGGGGTGAACTTCATAAACCAAGCTCTATTTTGACCTAATTGAAACGTATACAAAATGTTTGGAACTGCAGAAGTGACGTCAAAATGCGCATCCAGACGCCGAGCGCTACGTGAGCACGATAAATGCGTCCAGTATTATTCTGACGAATTATAGTCGATCATGACGCCCCAAGTCTGACGACTAATTAAAAATTACATGTTTTGCATAAAAGTTATATGTATATGTATACACACACACACACACACACGCACACACACATATGTGTATGCTACGAACAGAGGATTTTTACTCCATCTGCCCCTTCTCGCATTTGTGTGTGCATAAATATATACAGGGTGTCCATAAAGTTCGTGTGCACTTAAAAAAATTTATAACTTTATTTGTATTTGCGATAGAAATAATCTGTAAAAAATGTTATAAAGTTTAATGAACCTAGTTTTAATTATAGCTAAAATAACTAATGTGATTTCAGGCATTACTGTAAATCAGTTGGCAAATGTTTTCCGTGAACTGCAAAATCGTATTACCCTTTGTATTGCTAATGATGGAGGACATGTGGAAATTTAAATAAAATTTCAATAAAACCTTAAAAAATATAGATTTACTTCTTTCTGATCCTTTTTACAAATTATTTAAATCGCAAATACAAATAAAGTTATAATTTTTTAAAGTGCACATTGCCGATGTGACCTCCATCTTCTCCCATATGTTGGATAGGAGTCATTCCCTTGTTCAAATTTAAATTTAATTTAAATAAAACGGAAAAAATTATCAGTTTGGGTCTCATGCAAATCAGCTTGATCTTACGCCTTTGCTATGTATTTGATGCAATACTTGATTGAATAAATTGATGAACAGATTTCAACATTAATCTGGCAGTTGAATTGTCGCAACAAATATTTATTGTAAGGCACTACCCACTGATTGGTGATTTCTTGCTCAAGTGGACGTCCATATTTCTCATTTTGATCTTGCCTTATGAGACCTCCGTCTTCAGGCTTTCTCCTTCTATATTTTGGAAAGGGGTCATTCACGTGTTCAAATTTAAATTTAATTTAAACCAAAGAGAAAGAAATTCAGTAAAGGCTTTGTGCTCCCAAGTGTCCATCTTTGACCAAAATGAAATATACTTATCCAAGTACCCTAGGTAATGTAGTTTCAGAATACATGTGGTCATGGGGGTCTATCTTCAAAATCCAAGGAGGTGTTCGATAACTGACAGACAGACAGAGGCTACAATTATATATTTAGATGCATATTAATCAAATTTACTCTAAGGAAGAGAGTAAAGCCACTAAGACACATGAGGCTATTGGATGTGAAAGAATTAGAAACCAGAAACATTATTAAGCAGCGAGAACAATAGAAGAGTAATCAGGAGTAATAAGACATTAGATAACGATTCACATTGCATTTAATTTTTAGAAGATCAAAGATGATCCATGGAGTTTCCCGAGCGAGCATTGAGAAAATAAGAAACTTTTAGCCTAGAACTTACGGTTACATTTCGCCAATTCAACTGTGTATTGATGAGACCTTGTTGTCAGCAATGCGCATGCGCGTGAATTCATAAAGTATAGATACTATTGCGAAGAGCATAATTTATTTGTAATATATACAAAATGTGGCAAAAGGCCAAAAAGTGAAATGGGAAAAGGACGGTCTTTTTCTGTCCTAACGTTAAACGTAGCTAACCACAAACACTGGCCCAAATGTATAATAATATTCCTTACATCAAAACAAAGCATTCTTACATACCTTTCTTACTACATCCACCATAATAGCTTAGAATCTCCATGACGTCCTAACTAGTCCCCATACTTACAATTCATTGTCTGTGGTGAGAGGGAAATAAAACAACAAATCTAGCCCCAAATGAGTATTTACAATATGAAAAGAAAAACTATTTGCAAGAAACCAAACAAAATAATGTTTGTAATAACCCCCCCCCAAAAAAAAAACCCACAATGCAGCAGAAATATCAGTTAACTGAACGAAATCAATGCGGGACTGTAATAGTGATTTTCTAAGCCCGGCTTAGATGTGGCACACGGCCATATTAAATGATATTCCAATCGTAGCTTAGATGTGACATAAGGTCGAAAGTAGAGGGGGAAAGAGAGAACTGACTACTCAGTCGTAATTGCTCTAGCAAGACAAGCTTTCTAACCATTACTCCGTCTTGAGATACCCAATTATATTGATTTTCTAAGCGTAGCTGAGATGTGGCACAAGGCCGAAATCATGTGGCATCCATTGAGGATCGAACTCATTATTCAGGTGTAACTGTTTTAGCAAGACAAGCTTGCTAACCATTACACCACGCCGAAAACTGTAATAACAAAATATTTATTCCAATCACTCACTCAAACATACACCCATTCAAACACTTCAAATACGAAAATTATACTTGAAACAAAAGGCGTCCACATCCACCAGAGAACTGAAAACTCTGCTCACCTAAACAGGGAAGATGATGGGGAATTAAACTAAAGAAAATGTGGGACAGAGATAAACGGGGTTAATGAACATACATCCCCTAAGTTAACTTGAAGAAAGAAACTAAGGACAAACGGAAACCTAAAGCCAAATCTGGACAATAAATTTACCACGGTAGTAGTGGCCTGCTTACAGTACCAAGTGTTCCCAAGTGGACCCCATCTAAGTACTGGCCTAGCCCGACGATGCTTAACTTCGACGATCGAACGACAACCGGAGTGTTCATCTTGATTTGAGCGTAAGCATTGTAATCTTTTATTTAATACTCTATTATAGAGCCGCCACAAGAGCTAAAGACGTTAGACAGAATAGAGTACCTCATTCTCTCGGCAAAATATGTCTTAGTTCCTTTGGTGACACGTTTACATTTATTGCATGCAACCAGGAATAGGAGTCAGTTGTGATCGGAACTGTCACGCTGCTATAGCCAGAAATAGTGATACCTGTGGGCTATAGCGGCAGAACCTGCTAGTGTGAACGATGGAGAAGATTAAGGTTTCCCTTTTTATTTCCGAGAAGGAATAAAAGCATTTATGCCGGTTTTGACCCAAGAAGACATCACTCTGGTCCAATTCTCAATAGGAAGGCCAATAATATCTATCAAATGTATGTGTGTGTGTATGTGTGTGTGGGGTGTGTGTGTGTGTGTGTGTGTGTGTGTGTGTGTGTGTGTGTGTGTGTGTGTGTGTGTGCAGGTACCTCCAAGGAAAGTGATACCTAAGGTTTAAAATAGATTTTAAAAAACCCCAAAAAGCTTGAAGCTTTTGTGGAAGAAGGAAAATTAAATAAATAAAATAAATAATAAACATAATAAAAAATAAAAAAATAATTTCATTTTCCCATAATGCAAATAGAAATTGAAAAAAAGGTTTCCGGTCACGTGCAAAGTTTGTGACCCCCAATTCCGGAAAGGAGATCATTTAGCGTCTGGATACTTTCGAATTATTGGATTCGGACATGTTTTGCAGTGGTCCTAAGGATAGGAGATTCCGTGACCCTGTCTCAAAATCATGTTGACTTGAGGTCGACCATTTTCTTACCTCCGAGTTTAGTGTACACACATGCGTCAAGAAAAATTGTTCCTTCATTTTTCCAACCAAGTTTTTGCCTTATTTATTGTGATCCAACGACATTACCATCTTCTGATACCGGTCCAAAAAAATCGCAATAATTGTTATGTAATGTTTCACGGTATATATAAAAATAGTTACAAGTGTTTTACCGACCGTTCAACCCGTGGCTGGGCATTAAGCCATTTTTCTCTACCACCGGTAAAGCGGTGGTCAGGGCTCAAAGGTTTAATTGTTACATTACAGAGTTTGTTTGATAGATAAAGTAAGCCATCTTTATGACTTGATTTTAACATAGGCCGAGAAGAGAACGTGATACGCGAATTGACTTCAAGTAATATTTCCTAATACATATATGGATTTTTATTTCTTAGAATATGTTTCAGCAGTGTGTCCAATCGATGGCAATGTTAAATATTCGGGAAATATTTTGGAAAGAAAAACTTTCGGTTTATGGCAGTGTGCAATCTTTTTTATGAATACTAGATTGTACTACGAATAATGGATAAATATTGTTACACAATATTTTTTTAAGGAAGACTAATCAATGTCCTAACTTAGTCTTAGAACAAATCCTTAAGGCACGATGGACTAAGGTCTTAAGAAGATTAATTTTTCACTGCATTTAACAAAATGACTCTCAGAATACCCTCTGATTATCCAGAAAACGTGGTCTTTCGGTAATTTGATGCAAGAAACTTAGAATTTTGTCTTTCTACCGACCACATCTCCACCCACCAAAAAATATATAGTATCTTCATTTTTCTTTTCATACGAGATATTTTATTTGATTCGTTTTTACGGCTTATCAACCCTGTGCAGCTTTGTGTACATGGGAAATGGAAATGGGCGAGCAATAACTGAGTGGTACTCAAAATAAGAGCTAAAGAAGATATCCCTAGACATGGGCAGAGGAACGAGAACAGTCTACCCCCCATAAATTAAATAAAGGTTTCAGTTCAGAATTCCCTTTAGGTGACACAGGTCGATATACAGCTGAGGAAGGCCAAAGGACACAAGAGAGCGTTGTGATAAGAAAAACAAAGATGAAGACAACAGTCTGAATATAAATAGGGTGACGACGACGTGATCATATTTAAACGGAACGCTGAATCTTATAAAAGATTTCAGTTATCTGTTTGGATTGGTATTGCTTTTATATCCATCGTCTTTTTCATGTTGAATTGTATATGGTCTATGTTAATTATGTTTTATGAATATGTCCTGAAGATGGTCTATTAGACCGAAACGTCCGACGTTGACATTAAACATTAAAACAGCATAATTAGGATTTTTGTTTTTTTTTTCAGTATATTTTTCTTCATACTGTCAGATCTATATCTATATATTTGCTTACATAAATAGGGTATGTAATGATAACTCCTCATTACAGAAATTCAGGCGGAAGTGTTTTTATTTTATATTTTGACAATATTCGTTTTGCGAACAACCTCACCAAACTGAACCTGCGTCATTTAATCCGCCTAGAAGCTACTCATGAAAAGTGACTTCACTTTTTAATTTCTAGAAAATTTAGTTGTGAAGTGTACTCAGTCTGTCTATTTAAAATTAAATGCAGTATTATGTTCCAGATCCTTGTACCACGGTGATGGTAGAACCAATAAAGAAGAACTCGAACACGGATATGGAATAACACAGATATATTACAAACAGGAATATATACAGAGAAGTAGAAAATGTTAGTACGAACAATCAGGTTTAGTAGGGAGAACAATGTAGTCTCGACCAGTATCACTATTCCAAGATCTTGTAGTAATTGTCTGAACGCGACTCTCTTTCGGACTGCATCTGACTCGACTCTTGACTCGACTGACTGACTCATTCGCTCTGACTGACTGACAGACTCCTGCCGGACTTCACTCCAGACTTCAGACTGAACTCTCTGCTTCCTCTTGAGGCGCATTATTTATTACGCATGGAATATTCCATTATGTTATTATGGGTAAGGTCCCATAACAAGTATCAATCGCTATCTACTGTCCTGATTACTTTTTTCTCTTTCTGATTATCATTAATGTTTCTGTCCCTAATTCTTCGCGTCCTGGTAAGACGATAAACTACATCGGCGTCCTGGGTAAGACGATAAACTACATCCAGCAACGAGGCCTCTGATCAGGAGGTTTTGAGGAGCGTGGAACCACCTCTTAATTGCTGGTGTTCCCAGGTCCACCCTGACTTGGGGTGGTAGCGCCTGTTAGGGTCCCAGCTATGGGCAAATATTATCAGCAATACTTTTTTTTGAATAATTATTACCAGGAATACAATTTTGAAGGAAAAATATTACCAGAAACACAGATTTTTGACAAAACAAAATATTACCAGCAATAAAAAATGTTGTTGGCATTAAATAATCCATTGAGTTTGATATACCGTAAAACAAAATAAACCAAATCAAACCAAACCTAATCCTTCCACACTCTGTAACCCCTTGTGTCTTAGTGACTTTATTGCCTTGCATGGGGTGATACACATTTAAAAAAAATATCCATTTGTCTCCAACTGAGCTGCATGTTTTATCACATGGACCTATTTCAGTAAAAGACTGACTCAGGGATTGAACTCACAACATTCACTAATCAACGTGTTAATCCACTACGGCAATAACAACTTAGCGAGAGAACCTCTTGATTTTGTCCAAGGGCAGAAAACAGCGGCTTCTCTTTTTTGAAGGGTTGGACGCGTCCTAATAACATCATTTATGTTTATTGTTGCTTTGTTTTGATATTTAGTTTTATTTGGGGTCCACCCCTCCCCTTTCATGACCATTCATCCTATTTTTGTATATGTAAATTGTAAATAATATTTATCATCTTATTAGGATGTTTTTTTTTTTTTTTTTTTAACTCCCGAACCTGAGAGGATGTGGTATTATGGTGTATGGAGGATTGATTGACGACGGATGGGTTTTTATGGTGAATGAGGAAATTATAACGAGTAAATGGGTCGTGAATCCGATTAGTTAGGTATACGATAGATAGTGAAGACCAGCCTCAATCCATTCCCCCTTTTCGGCCTTATGCCATAATTGTATTAATTTACAATAAATCTCAACACATAAAAATTTCAGTTTGAGCGTTTATATGACGTTACCTTGAGTGACTTGAAATTGGTGCCATCAAAGGTGAGAGCTCCAGAATTGAAAACAAATTGTGTAACTAGACCCAGAACAATCCGTGAAAACGAATGGAGCAACATTCGAAAGTACTCGGGAAAATAGTATAGAGTAAAAAGTAATATTTTAACAAATTTTAAAACACAAAACAACTTATTTGTATTTGCGAATATATGACAAGTAACAGTTATGTTTATTTTTGATTTGTTTTGATATTTAGTTTGTTTTGGGGGTTCACCCCTCCCCTTTCATGATCATTCATCCGATTTGTATGTATAAATTGTAAATAATATTTATCATCTCATTGGGATGTACTTTTTTTTTTAAAAACTCCCCAACGTGAGAGGATGTGGTATTATGGTGTATGGAGGATTGATTGACGACGGATGGGTTTTTATGGTGAATGAGGAAATTGTAACGAGTGAATGGGTCGTGAATCCGATTAGTTAGGTATAAGATAGTTACTGAAGACCAGCCTCAATCCATTCCCTCTTTTCGGCCTTGTGCCATAATTGTATTAATTTACAATAAATCTCAACAAAGATGAGGACACTAGTCCTAATATAAATAACCCAAATAATGTCAAAAAACTCTCGCACATCGCCATGATGACCGACAATTACTTTTCAGTTTGCTGATAATATTGGTAAACTTAAAGTTTTCTTTATTTACAAAAGAACGCTCAACAGTGGTATTGCAATCCGACTTCGATCTGGTAATTCTAAAATTGATATAAAAAGAGAAATATTATTCTCAAAATAGGTTTTTAAAATTCTTTTTCGGCGGGCAATAAAGGGTTCCTTTTAATTTGACTAAATAACTAATGCTCGAAATCTCGTAAGACCTTGTTTGAAAATGCTTAAAGATTTTATTATAGGTACAAAATTGAAACCGTGATAAGAAAATATATTAACCCTAGAACACTAACCATCAATTAAAATTACACCACAACTAACCATGGGTATATCATACCCGATTTTGAAAATATCAAAAAAAATATTAAATATAAATCTTTATTTGAAATATTTTACATGCAGGC